ACAGGCTGCTGACGTTAGATTACTTTTTGTGTTGCCGCTGTTGATTTGCCGGTTCAGCTTTTTGCCGGCTGGGCAGGTTTGCCGGTTAGTTTTAAAGCCGGTATTGTTTCAAATAGACAGGAATACTTACATAGAATGACTGCTTGTAACGTTAACCAAAGCGGAAAACTTAATTTATCGGGCAACATTTGTTGACGTGGCCTGTGTTATTTAAACAGAATGAGACTCATTTGACCAGACTTGATCGTTACAAGTCTCGTGTTGCATAACTGGTAATTGACCGGACATTTAATTTGTTTCCGGACAATTTAAATTGTCGTTAATGGACATGATAGCCGGATACATTTTTATGTACCCGGGCAATGCCATACCTAGCTTAACTGTAGCCTCCAATGTAGCCCGTGTAGCCTTAGATGTAGCCAGCCACAGGTGTAGCTTTAGATGTAGCCAGCCACAGGTGTAACCTAGATGTAGCCAGCTACAGGTGTAGCCATAGATGTAGCCAGCCACAGGTGTAGCCAGCCACAGGTGTAGCCATAGATGTAGCCAGCCACAGGTGTAGCCATAGATGTAGCCAGTCACATGTGTAGCCATAGATGTAGCCATAGATGTAGCCAGTCACAGGTGTAGCCATAGATGTAGCCATAGATGTAGCCAGTCACAGGTGTAGCCATAGATGTAGCCATAGATGTAGCCATAGATGTAGCCATAGATGTAGCCAGCCACAGGTGTAGCCATAGATGTAGCCAGCCACAGGTGTAGCTTTAGATGTAGCCAGCCACAGGTGTAGCCATAGATGTAGCCAGCTACAGGTGTAGCCATAGATGTAGCCAGCCACAGGTGTAGCCAGCCACAGGTGTAGCCATAGATGTAGCCAGCCACAGGTGTAGCCATAGATGTAGCCAGTCACATGTGTAGCCATAGATGTAGCCATAGATGTAGCCAGTCACAGGTGTAGCCATAGATGTAGCCATAGATGTAGCCAGTCACAGGTGTAGCCATAGATGTAGCCAGCCACAGGTGTAGCCATAGATGTAGCCATAGATGTAGCCAGCCACAGGTGTAGCCATAGATGTAGCCAGCCACAGGTGTAGCCATAGATGTAGCCAGTCACAGGTGTAGCCATAGATGTAGCCATAGATGTAGCCAGTCACAGGTGTAGCCATAGATGTAGCCATAGATGTAGCCAGTCACAGGTGTAGCCATAGATGTAGCCATAGATGTAGCCAGCCACAGGTGTAGCCATAGATGTAGCCAGCCACAGGTGTAGCCATAGATGTAGCCAGTCACAGGTGTAGCCATAGATGTAGCCATAGATGTAGCCAGTCACAGGTGTAGCCATAGATGTAGCCAGTCACAGGTGTAGCCATAGATGTAGCCATAGATGTAGCCAGCCACAGGTGTAGCCATAGATGTAGCCAGCCACAGGTGTAGCCATAGATGTAGCCAGTCACAGGTGTAGCCATAGATGTAGCCATAGATGTAGCCAGTCACAGGTGTAGCCATAGATGTAGCCATAGATGTAGCCAGTCACAGGTGTAGCCATAGATGTAGCCAGCCACAGGTGTAGCCATAGATGTAGCCAGTCACAGGTGTAGCCATAGATGTAGCCAGCCACAGGTGTAGCCATAGATGTAGCCAGCCACAGGTGTAGCCTTAGATGTAGCCAGTCACAGGTGTAGCCATAGATGTAGCCCGTCACAGGTGTAGCCATAGATGTAGCCAGCCACAGGTGTAGCCATAGATGTAGCCATAGATGTAGCCAGCCACAGGTGTAGCTTTAGATGTAGCCAGTCACAGGTGTAGCCATAGATGTAGCCAACCACAGGTGTAGCCATAGATGTAGCCAGCCACAGGTGTAGCCATAGATGTAGCCAGCCACAGATGTAGCCATAGATGTAGCCAGCCACAGGTGTAGCCATAGATGTAGCCATAGATGTAGCCAGCCACAGGTGTAGCCATAGATGTAGCCAGCCACAGGTGTAGCCATAGATGTAGCCATTCACAGGTGTAGCCTTAGATGTAGCCAGTCACAGGTGTAGCCTTAGATGTAGCCAGTCACAGGTGTAGCTTTAGATGTAGCCAGTCACAGGTGTAGCTTTAGATGTAGCCAGCCACAGGTGTAGCCTCAGCCCTTTAATCATGGGACAAACAAAACGGAGCTGCCCCAAGGCTACCCCCCACCCCCTAATGCCCGAGGTCACGTGACACAATGCCATCACTCACCCGTCTGGCATCACAGAACAGTGCCCGACTGTACCGGTCATTAATAGACTATTTCCCGGTCAATCTACCGCCGGCTGCTTTGTTTATTTACCGGCACAGAGCCGGTTCCAGCACGTGAGGGGCCGGGATTAACGCCTTATCCATCAAAGGGTCACTGACTTTGTGAAGGCCGGCATCCATCATTAGAGCGTGACGTAAACTTGGACCAATTACTTAACCTATGGTCACGTGGTAGATTTGGTCGGGGTCACAGGTCAGTCTGGACCTATTTAAACAGCAACTTATCTAGTCAGTGCCCTCGTTGTGTTCTCTCATTTGTGATGTGATCAATGTTACCGAAGATCTCATTGGTCAACACGTCTGTTAACGCTGTTCTCATTGGTCGATACGTCTGTTACCGCTGTTCTCATTGGTCAACATAACTGTTACCGATGTTCTCATTGGTCGATACGTCTGTTACCGCTGTTCTCATTGGTCAACATATCTGTTACCGCTGTTCTCATTGGTCAACACATCTGTTACCGCTGTTCTAATTACCGCTGTTCTCATTGGTCAACATATATGTTACCGCTGTTCTCATTGGTCGACAATTCTGTTACCGCTGCAGCTATTGGTTCAAATATTGATGATTAAGACGTCGTATTTTGTTTTTCATACGCACTTGTATTCAAAGTTATTTTCGGAGAATTCACAAAATGTTATCGTCGGCCTTGATGAATTAGCTCTTTTGTTCGCCACTTTTAAGGTTCGTCACTTTTAAGTTTTGCGACTTTTAAGGTTCGTCACTTTTAAGGTTCGCCTCTTTTAAGGTTCGTCAGTTTTAAAGCTCGCCACTTTTAAGGTTCGTCTCTTGAGCTAAAAATATAAGGCTAGATATTTGTGTAAATAAAGCACTTTAAAATTGCGATAAAAATAGATTGTGTGTGTTCGCATCATTGGAAGTTTATTTCTTCTTGAAGATGGGTGTTTACAATTGGAGAGTTCTGGACTTCTATTAATAAATCATTAATCAACTAATTAATCCCTGATGACTTTTAGATCGTTAAAGAAGACCGTTATCTGAGTGCTTGACATCGTCGTGCTCTACCTGTCTGGTAGCGGCCTAATTCTTGTACAGGTAATTGAACAGGTAACGCCAGACTTGAGGGTTGGGATGGGGGGGGGGGAGACAAAGTGAGGCGCCTGATTTAACGCCGCAACTCGGCTGGGTGAGGGAGCTATCGCGGCGACAAACCAAAACACATTTTGATTGGACGCCAGATGTGGGGCATTGTGGCGCCACCATATCAAAGGGGAGATAACTCCGGTCCGTGTTGGCCGCTCACGCCATCTGGTGACCAGGAGAAAAAACACGGTAATGGGCCTTTAATTCTCAGCAACGTTCCTCCAGAAACAAGATGGGGGGTACATAGAAAATTGGAGGGGGGGGGGGGGTGATAAAATACATAGAGGGTGGGGGTTTGAATTACAAAAAGGAGGAAGAGGTCCAATATAGATAACTATGCTCAACATAATGGTAATCACGTGAAAGTTGTCTTCCACGTTGCGCACCAATGCCACGACAATATCTTTTATAGTGGAACGTGATCTTCTCGTCGTGTCACGTTTGGTGGAGCGTGATCTCCTCAGCAAATCACGTTTGGTGGGCCGTGATTTTCTCAGCGGTCTTTGACAAGTCTATCTGTCTACGTCAAGTCTAGATGAACAACACAGGCGCCATGTGCCACTCACAAGACACCACAATCCACATCAGTAGCAGACACCACAATCCACATCAATGCCACACCACAACCCACATCAATGCCACACCACAATCCACATCAATGCCACACCACAATCCACATCAATGCCACACCACAATCCACATCAGTAGCAGACACCACAATCCACATCAATGCCACACCACAATCCACATCAGGAGCAGACACCACAATCCACATCAGTGGCACACCACAATCCACATACATGCCACACCACAACACACATCAGTGCTGCAGAAAACACTACTGGGGGCGCTCTTGTTACACTAAGGGGGATAACAATGTAACCCACCTCATCTTTTGGCTACACCATCGCGTCAAATTGAACCATCAAAATAAATAATGAACGCTTCAAAAATTAAAGAGATTTTTTTTTTGATGAACTTCTGCTTCTGTTTATGTGATGATTTTCATGGGATGTGGGGGGGGGGGGAGTAATTAAATTGTTTAAAGGTTCGAATTTTGTTTTCATTTAATATATAGCAGAAGGGATAGCACGGCAGAGGCGTCTGTTGTTAGTTGGTCAGTTCTGTGGCTGCTTTATGATCTTAGATGGGTAGATACATAGGCTTGTAGGCTGTAGTTTACAGAGGGATTCGTAAGCCACAGATTATAAGATGTTACAGTAGGTCCGGGTGTAATTAGAGCAATGTCCAATTCGCCTTTAATTAGAGTATTACGTAGGCCAAGCTGGAGTATTGTGCTGGTCAATCTGTAATTAAAGTAATGTGTTGGTCAAGCTGTAATTAAAGTAATGTGATTAGTCAAGCAGTAACTAGTGTAATGAGACCTGTACCGCGTGTGTCACTGTGTTGCGCCTGTAACGTGAGTGTCACTGTGTTGCACCTGTAACGTGTGTGTGTGTGTCACTGTGTTGCACCTGTAACGTGTGTCACTGTGTTGCACCTGTAACGTGTGTCACTGTGTTGCACCTATATCGTGTGTGTCACTGTGTTGCACCTGTAACGTGTGTCGCTGTGTTGCACCTGTAACGTGAGTGTCACTGTGTTGCAGGTACCGAGACGACAGGTGTGGGGACGGCCCCCAGTGTGTACCTGCGAGAGGACCCCATCTGTGGCACCCAGTTAGAGAACCAGAGCGAGCTGCGGGCACCCACGGCCGAGAAGGCGGCTCATTACCTGGACGCGGCTCTAGCGGCTCGCAGTGCTGCAGGTAGGTGTACATTTGTTGGACACATCTTGTTGCATACATCTTGATGTAGACATCTTTATGTACACATGTTGTACACGTTTTGTACATACGCTCTTATACACATCCATTTCTAAGCTATTATCCAATTTATTTCTGCCGTTTAAAAGCAACTTGAAACCAATTCTTGTTGAATAATTTGTTAGAATCGGCTCCAGACATTATAATCTTTCAGTCCATCATTTAATTAAGTGAACCTACCACAATAGGGATGGTAAGTAGGTCACCAACCAGTTCTATGGCTCATGCAGGTTTTATTGAGCCGTAGAACTGGTTGGTTACCTACTTACCAGCCCTATTTCTGGCTGACCTAATGTGACCTAACGACCTATTTTAACCATTTCCCAGACGAAGACGAAGAGAGGTCCTCCCATATTTTGTTCACTCTCAACGTGTACCAGTACCGGATAGAGAGGTCAAACACTAAAGCCGGACTTCCGGGAGGTAAGTACAGGCTTGGTGGGCTCAGTGGGCTTTGTGTCTTTGTGGGCTGTCTCAACTATTTGTCTTGGTGGGCTTTGTGTCTTAGTTTTTCCAAATGGGATTTGTTTGTGTCTCAGCAGGATTTGTATTTGTTGGTTTTTGTATTTTTGGTGGGATTTGAATGTATTTTCAATGGGTATCGAAAATTGGGCTTTGTCAATATCTTGTTTTACATTGCTCATAATTTAGCATTTTTGGTTTGGATGGGGAAGGAGTCAGTGACTCTATGGATGGGTCTGTGACTCTCGAAACTGAAACTATCCCAGTCGTGACGATGTCCCGTGGAATGTTGACCTGATGTTGTCCCGTGGAATGTTGACCTGATGTTGTCCCGTGGAATGTTGACCTGATGTTGTCCCGTGGAATGTTGACCTGATGTTGTCCCGTGGAATGTTGACCACAACTCTAACGCTGGAACTCGACTGGTATCGGTTTGTTGGTTTACCCTGTCACGTGATTTGTTGCCTGGAGGTGGCGCTACTGGTGGTCAGCTGTTGGTTTGTTTCTTTTGTAGCTGGTCCGTCACTCCACGTGAGTGGCACTAGTGGGCAGGTAGGGAGTGGCACTAGTGGGCAGGTAGGGAGTGGCACTAGAGTTGAACCGTACTTCGAAAGGGTACTTCACCTCTGTTGGCCACGTACCATATTATTTGGCCATATGTCACAGTATGGTCAAGTGTTATGAGTCTACGGTTGCGGCCTGCGACCATGTGTTTGACATGTGTCCTAGTTGCTGCATTGTGTCACATCTCGGCCATACGTCACATCACGGCCATACGTCACATCACCGCCATACGTCACATCACGGCCATACGTCATATCTCGGACATACGTCATATCTTGGCCATACGTCACACCTCGGCCATACGTCATATCACGGCCATACGTCACATCACGGCCATACGTCACATCACGGCCATACGTCACATCAGGGCCGTACGTCACATCACGGCCATACGTCACATCACGGCCATACGTCACATCTCGGCCATACGTCACATCACGGCCATACGTCACATCACGGCCATACGTCACATCACGGCCATACGTCACATCACGGCCGTACGTCACATCACGGCCATACGTCACATCTCGGCCATACGTCACATCACGGCCATACGTCACATCACGGCCATACGTCATATTCCAACCATCCAATAAACACTTCTCATGACATCCGGGTATCTCCGTCTCTCACGTGGTCCGTGCCACGAGCGCCCACCAATCACCATCAGCCGACACGCGCTAAATCCTAAACTGACCATTTGACACGAGCGCTAATGAATCACCTTGTCACGTGACTTCTTTTTAAACTGCACCCCCTCCCACTTCACAGCTACAGAACACAATTCATCCAATCATTTATAAACAGCATTAACACCCCCCCCCCTCAGTGATAGCCCAACAAATCAAAGGATTAACGCAGCTCTGGTCAATATTTGCGGAACATCCGGTCATGTCAGAATCTGGAGAAAATCTGGCCACAATACATGCAGACGGTGCAGGACAAACTGCGCGGTTTTCTTGCGCAGCTTTTAGCGATTAAAATTGCAATTAGCAAATGTCCCATCACTCGCAACGAAATATCCACATATCTCCGCTGATATTTCGCGCCGAGTCGCGTACACTAGTTTTTTTTTTAAACACGGACTAACAATTTATTTTAGCAGTGAAATTTCTCACCCCACAAATACCCCCCCCCCCCCCTCCCACACCCACCCCTCCTGACCCGGTGAGTAGTGTTGAGCAGTGAATGAATCACCATCCAGTTTGCTAGGCTTCTAGTTTTTAAAAACCTACTTTAAACATTTTGTTACCCAGCCCCCTTCCCCTTCCTGTCCCGTCCCCCCCCCCTTTCTCCTTCCTGTCCCGCCCCCTCCCTCCCCTCCTTCTTGTCCCGCCCCCTCCCACTTCCAGATGAAATCACGGAGGATAAAATTAAATTATTTTTATTTGACATTTCCTATCTACCATTTTTGACACCTAGCGACCCTCTGTTGCCGTGAGTGCCTCCCCCCCCTCCTCTATCCACTTCCTCCCCCAGTAGTAACACCCCCCCCCCCCCCCCCCACTCTGGCGCTGGAGAGGCGGCGTCATGCGGTGACCGCAATTAAATAGTTTAGTGTCAATCAATGAATACTTCACGCCATTATCTCCCTTTTTCTTGCCTTAACGTCGTTACCTCCCTTTATCATTTCCCTTGCCACAAAATGACAGTCGTGGGGATGGCAGCCCAGCACTGACATGGCACTGGTGTCACAGTGACACTGACACACGACAAATTATGGACATGTCAGTGACATGTAGTGTTTCAAAAATCCACACTTCAAAAAATAGCAAAAATTTTGTCTTGTGGAACACGTCCACACCTTATGTTTATTTGCTTGTCTGTTTTCATACATTGTATCTGTGGTCATGTGTCTGTTGTCGTACATTCTGTGGACAGAAATTCAGTCTTGGGCATAGAGTCTATCGGTAGCCCCATCATAGATTCTGTCTATAATCATAGTCTGTGTTCTTCACTTGTCTTTTTGAGATGCGTCCGTTAGCTATGACAGTGTTTCTTTCGGACTTTTTTCTTCGGGGGGGGTGGGTGGAAACTGGTAAAAGTATATCTTTTTAAAATAAATTCCTTTTGGTTCCGAAGGGGGGGGGGGGGGGGGTCTGCCGTCCTCGAGATGCCTGGAAGAAACAGGATGTAGATCTCGGAATCTAAGTGGTCTCCAGCTGGCTGTGGTGAGGTATATTGCTGGTGGAGCTACCAGCTACCATTGCGTGGCTGCTAGACAATGTATATCATATATATACATACCGATGGTGGAAGCATGACCTCATCACGTGACACCAACGTGATTGATGTGCTGACGTAAGCCCCCAGTAGCTAGGTGTGAAAGCTATTTATCTGGCAGACTCCCCACCCACCTGACGGCGCCAGAGCTGAACGACGGGCACAATGAGATCAACTCGGCTCTGGCCTAGACGAGATGCTCCGGTACAGCCTCCAGTGATGGATGTGGCCGAGCTTTCACGCGTTCTTCTGTTTGTCTTAAGCCAAATACCAGGGTTGTATCTGTAGTTAGGGGCTGTGTGGTGCTGAATGATGTGTGGGGCTGTGTGGTGCTGACTGCTGTGTGGGGCTGACTGCTGTGTGGTGCTGACTCTACTGTGTGGTGCAGACACTGTTGTATGGTGCTGACTCTACCGTGTGGTGCTGTGTGATGCTGACTGCTGTGTGGAGCTGTGTGGTCACCATGAAATCTCAAGTATGGTCTCTGTTCGCTTGATTTGACCTCCGCAATCACCTGTAGGTGTTATCATGACGTCACTGTGGCTCTCTTAACAGGAACCCGCCGTTAAACCTTAGTGACCTGACATTTTCACCCCTGCCACCTACCCCAGCCCACTGTTACTCGTGCGACTGGTGTTTGTGTTTAGAACTCACGTATACAAAATTTAGTCTAGTCGTTGAAGACGTCACATGTAAACAGCCAACTGCCCATTATGACCCACGTACCTTGACCCCCCCCCCCCCCACATCCCCACCCTCTCGTCAAGTCATTACACGTTCAAGCGGGGTGCAAACCGCTCAGGTTTAAAAGCCGTGCACATTAGCCTCAGCTCTAGACGAGTACCCAGCATCCCGCCGCGCCAAACTTAGTGTCACAGTCGGAAAGCTGATAGCCGGCCTGTTTATCGCTGGAAATGTTTTTGCCTCCCCCGGGCAGGGGCCTGGTCCCGCGAAATGCGGGGGAAAGAATTGCCAGGAATCCTAGGCACCCACAGACCTCAGCCCCTCACCCGCAGACCTCAGCCCCTGGTGTCAGCACCCTATTGTTCCCTCCCGTCTGACAATTCGTTCCTCCCGATATTCTGATGGACTACTCCCCCACTCCCCCCACCCCCACCCCAAGGACCATCACCAGGTAAGTGGGAGGTGGGCAGAGCTATAAAAGTGCCAGACTATCGTCCCGCGGTGCTACAGAGGTGCCGGAGTTAAAACTCTGAAAATTCGCGGACGTTTAGCGATTAGAGTTTTCCCGGTATTTATCTCGGCGCGAGGGGGAATTCCCGATACCGCCCGGCGATGTAATTAAAGGTGCTCTCTCCCGATCTTAGCTTAGCACTGTTTTGTCTGCATACAGACTTTGTCTTCCTACAGACTTCCTACTAGAGCACAACGAATGTCTGTCTCCAATCACTATGGTCCCAGTCCTGCCCAGCATGTAGTGGATGCCGAGACTACCAACATTCGCCACAAACCTAATTTGGCGTGGTGTACATTCGCCACAAACTGAATTTGGCGTGGTGTACATTCGCCACAAACCTAATTTGGCGTGGTGTACATTCGCCACAAACCTAATTTGGCGTGGTGTACATTCGCCACAAACCTAATTTGGCGTGGTGTACATTCGCCACAAACCTAATTTGGCGTGGTGTACATTCGCCACAAACCTAATTTGGCGTGGTGTACATTCGCCACAAACCTAATTTGGCGTGGTGTACATTCGCCACAAACCTAATTTGGCGTGGTGTACATTCGCCACAAACCTAATTTGGCGTGGTGTACATTCGCCACAAACCTAATTTGGCGTGGTGTACATTCGCCACAAACCTAATTTGGCGTGGTGTACATTCGCCACAAACCTAATTTGGCGTGGTGTACATTCGCCGCAAACTGAATTTGGCGTGGTGTACATTCGCCGCAAACTGAATTTGGCGTGGTGTACATTCGCCACAAACCTAATTTGTCGTGGTGTACATTCGCCACAAACTGAATTTGGCGTGGTGTACATTCGTCACAAACTGAATTTGGCGTGGTGTACTGTGAAATGATAGGCGAATTACCGCAGAAATATGGTGTCTGGATGTCGTGGGGCTATTCAAATAAAACACTTCAGGGGTTTCGAACATTTTGTGTCGCAGTCTCTAGACAACCAGCGGCAGAGAGACTCCGAGCGCTAT